GTTGGCCCTCTTCCAGTCCTCCGGCACCTCTCCAGAGCACCACGAGTGTTCATAAAGCCGTGCCAGGGGACTTGCAATGACCCCAGCCAGTTCCTTTAGGACTCTAGGGTGAAGATCATCCGGGCCGGCTGACTTAAAAACGTCCAGCCCCTCCAGAAGCTCCCTAACTAAATCCTCACTCACCCTAGGCCCAGGTGAGCCTCCCCCAGGGCCCGAAGGGGGCCCAGCAGGGAGGTGGCAGTTCTGGTCCTTACTGAGGAAGACAGAGGCAAAGAAGTTATTAAATATGTTGGCTTTGTCGTCTGACGTGACAACCAGATTCCCCGTTGCTGACCCCAGTCTAGACTGTTATTATAATTGTCAAGAGCCTGGATAAAAGTCACAAAGGCAATTGCTGCAACTTTCTCTCAACAAATCTTGGTACAACCTCTTTCAAAGGAGTAAGTTTCACTGGACTGGAGTGTCAGTACCACAACCCCTTACTACAGTTCATATCATTTTGGCTTCATGCCATTGTTCACATGGTAGTTTCTGCTGCACAAAAGCCAGCAATGAGGAAGACGATCATCCTCATGAGGTGGCCTGTTTCAGTAATAGTCTGAGCTCCTTTTCCCTGTGATTCCCCCATGATTTCCCCGGACTTTAGTTAAGGCTGGATTCTGAACATTGTTGGATAAGGCAAACTCTTCAGGACAGTTCAGTGTGAGGAATCAGTGTCTTTCATCTTTATAGTTCCATAGTCCAATGCGGACTATCGAACTATGTGTATGGGGCATTGCTAATGGTAAAAATGTCAAGAAAAATAATTTGATTCAGAGGGCTCGCCTTAAGGATGAGCCATAGAAGAGCAAAACTGTGCAGGATTTTCCAACTCAGGAAAAGTTTTGAGGTCTTGATTTTTTTTCATTCTGAATGAAAATGGAAAACAGTCTTGAATTTATTTGTTGGAAGACAAGCTTGGAGAAATTCCATTTTGCAAGAACTGAAATTGATTTTTTGTTGATTCATTGGCTGCCTAGATTTCTAGGACAAGACAAATCATTTAAGTGAAAAATGTATTGAATGGCTGTAGTGTGAGATTATGTTAGAAACGTTTGATCCAGCTGATCCATGCAAAACCTAGAAGACTGCCAATGATTTAGTAAGATAAGTGAGACTGAAGATATGTCTACATAACATCCTGGGATGCTGTGAAGTCTTTTCAAGGGTGCCGCACAACATTAGCACTGTTAGGTGTGCAAATATGATTTACAAAATTAAAACCAGAAATTTTGAATAGGACTTCATAGGTTTAAAAACATTCTGACCTGTTGTGGTCTTTCTACATTCTTTGCAAGAAAAGAATTGCTCTACTGTTTTTTATAGTAAAAAAACAAGTGAAAATTAAGATCTCACATTTTCTGAGGGGTGCCTAGAGTCTAACAAGGGGGTGTCTTCAGTTCAGAAACACTGGTCTACGCAGTAAAGTTTTTGCTCCGATAGTTTAAGTACAAGAAGCAGTATAACTATATTAGTACAGGACTCTGCCCAGGGTACTTAGACCTACTGAGAAGTAGGATATATTAGTTCAGGTGGATTGCCGTGCTTTTGCATCTGTACTTATTTTGGTACCCAAACTGTATCTCTGCTCAGCAGTGCATGGTGCCATTGTAGATATACTCAGAGATAAAATGGAAACAGAACAAACAAGAAGGTCTTGCTCATGCGCTACATTTACACAGGAACTTTTCTTACAAAATGGAGGATGACAACATGGCTTCAGCATTTGGTTTGATATACTGAGTTTTTGCAAATATTTACTGAGTGCATCATTAGTACACTATTACCTTCATCAACTAGATTCATAATCTCATCACAAAAAGATAGCCAGTTAGTTTGACAGGTTCTATTGGCATTAAATCTGATTTCCTTTGTTGTTGTTGTTATTTAATTCTTTATTGAGCCCTATATTAACCATTATTTTACTTGAGATCAATACCAAAATGACACGTCTCTAATGATACCCGGGTCATCTCATGTACCTTTTCAAATATTAACATGTTAGCTTTTTTCTAGGTTTTTGGACCTTCCTTAGATTATATCTGCATGGTAAACTTACCAAGTGCAGCAGTACTGCACACTGTGCTTCAGACTACCTCTTAAACTTGAAGCACTGTAGCTTGGGGGAGCACCAAGGTCAGGTGAATTAGCATGGGAGTTCAGTTGATCCCTGTCCTTCCTTCCCCTTTTCTTATTAGTTTAATATAGTGAACTGTCCCCGTTCTGACAGATGGAATGTAAGGTGTTGGATCAGAACCTGCCTGCAAATGGAGGTCTGAAGGAACAACTGGAAATTTGGGGGAAGTTTTGTCCCCAGTTTCAGGTTTTGGCAAAAAAATGCAAAATAATTACTACTCCCTCCCTATTTTTCACCCAGCATTTACCTGTAGCTTATAGACTGCTTTGGTTTCTCTGTCTAAAGTCCTATTGAAATACAAAATTCCTCGCTTTGGTCCAATTTCAAAGATGCCATCTGTTTCACCACTTAGTCTCAGACTATCAGCAGGTGGCTCTATTATGAACTACAGGAGAAAAAGGAGAAAGAAGTCAAGAGGTTAGTGTAAAAGAGTATTACATAACAACTTTTTCTTGGAATTCATTGTTAGCATTACTTCCAAATGGAGCTGGAGAGATGGTATTCAAGTAGTTTGCTCAACCAAAGCAGGTGTTTTTCATTTTAAATGCTTCAATGAATTGTTTTGAACTCTAGCAGGGACTAAGGGTTCTGCATCCTCCACAGCAAATATCTCCTTATAATGCTTGTTTGAAGATAAGAATGGGATGACATGACCCTCTCATCCCCCATGTATCTGTCTGTTTTCTCTGCTATGTTCCTGCCTGAAAAAATATAGCAATGGTCACTTGGAGTGACCTGCCTGTGACAAAGGGAACTTCTAAGAAGAGAGAGTTGGAGAAATGAAATGAACGATATTTACCTGAATCCAAGACAACTTTGCATTTAAGATGACCCCCCATTAATTAGATACAATACATGGAAAATATATAAATATATTTTTCCAGGTTTAGAATGTATTGCAGGGTCATCTTAAATTCACCTCCCTCCACTGCAGTTAGGGCAGCAGCAGCACAGGGGCAGGTGGGGGCGGGGGCAGGCAGCAGGGGAGACCAGTAGCCTTCCCCCTGCCCCTTCTCCCCTCCTTTCCCCCTTTGCTGCTTGCCCCACCCCCACTCCCAGTACCTGTACACCCCAGCACCTGTGCACCCTGGTGCCTGGCCCCCCAGCACCTACCTCTGCTACTACTTGCCCCCTGCTCCTGCTTGCCTCCATGCCTGTGCCTGCTGTTGCCTGCTCCCCACCACCTGCCCCCCTGCCTGTCCCTTCTACTAACTCTACCCCCTGCCACTTAACCTGCAGCTCCAGGCTGGGGCACGAAGCACATGATCACTCTAGCCATCACCTGACCATGCAGCAGTAGTTGCGGCGGTGGCAGCTCCAGCCCTGGAGCTTGGGCTGAGACTGGAGCTGGAGCTGATGCCGCATGGTTGAGAGGGGGCCAGAAGGTCCATGTGCTCTATGCCTTGGGCTGGAGCAGGGCCAGAGCCAAAGCCAAGCCGGAGGGTAAACGACAGTGCTGGGGCCAGGCAGTAGGGAAGCAGGGGATGCTGCAGGAATGCTGCAGCTGTGGTCTGACCCTGACCCCTGATCCTGGGATGGGACCAGAGTCAAGAGTCACAGCAGCCACCTGGCCTCCCTGCTTGTACTCAAATCCAAGATGAGGGGCTTTTCTCATGTTAAATGGGGGGATGGGGACCTTGTCTTGAGTTCAAGTAAATACAGTAATTGCTTGTGTTCATTCACTAGGATTATACTAATACCCATTCTAGATTTATTCTGATAAATTTTGGTTTCTTTAATTGTATGAGTTTTCAGATAATGGAAGCCTGTGGCTTTTGGGGTCGTTGATAAACTCTCCAAGATGATGATTACCTGGTATAGGTACTGAAATCCAATTGTACCTTCTTGAACGTTGAAAGTCATGTCTTGCAGAGGTCCGCTTAGATGCAGTTCCTCTGTATGCTGGCAGGCAGCCTGTAGGGAGGGTAGGGAAGGAATATGTTGGTATTAATTGTGAATAAGCAGTTGCTTGGCCTTCCCTTCACAAGAATGAAGCTTTTAAATTTATTTATTTTGCCCTAAAATAATGTGAAGTGAGCAGCCTGGGGATGGCTGGCTTGTACTGTGCCCCATCTTGTTGGTTTTTAAATGTATGTCCATTTTGAAAGTCCATGTCCTGCCTTAAAGTTTACTTCAAAACAAACAATTTAAAAAAGAAATACATTAACTAAATTCCAGATGATCGTCTTGCAAGAGTCATCACTTTGCCTGCATAAAAGGACAGAGGGGACAGACTGGCCCCTTCTATAGAGCTATACAGAAGAGGCAACGTGTAGCTGCAACACCCCAGAAGCTTCTTACTTTCCTGTCAGCTGACAGGCTAGAGGATTGAGCCTTGGTCCTGCCACTTGCTCACAGGTTTCTGAGCCAAACAGTGGGCCTTCAAAGCCTACTTCTCTACCCTTGGCAGCCATAGCAATCTGGGTAGATCCAGCAGGGGGATGTGGGACATAAGAGCTTCCTTCTTTCTTCCCTCTTCTGCCTGGCAATGTTAATCAAAATAAGCAAGTGGAAGAAGCTGAGAGCAGACAGAGGCAAGGCTTGGTAAGTCTTCAAAAGATGGTGGTTGGCTGTAAACTATCAGAGGATTATATTAAAATATTATGACATAGATTCAAAAATCAAATTCAAAATTATGAAGAATATCCTTGATAATGAATCCTTTAAACAAGCAATTTGTACATCTTGTTACTCAATTCAAGAGATTTATATTCTTTTTCTTGTGGCTTACAAGTGACTTACCATTGTGTCACTTGCTCTGATATGCCTAAAGTGCAGACTGTAAAAAAAATAGCTGTCTCATCACTCAAGAACTTGGCTGCTGAAAATTTAATGTAAACTTGCATCAGTAGCTGCTGTCTTTTTAAGGCGATTGACGTTCAGTGAACTTGGTGGTGTTCCAGTATACCCTTGTGTTCATTATGACCAAAACTCCCTTGTCCCTCGGAAACTTTGCACATGGACATGTTGTTCAGTTTTGCATCCTACCCTAATAACTCAGAGCTGTTCTTACTGTGAATCCAAAGTTGCCAAACAGAATCTGTTTTTGCAGATGTAGCTTTTGCCTACCAGAAAGCCCAGCCTAGGATTCAGCTCATCTGATTGATATTTGTATTCCCTTCTCCCTATCACTGTGGCCTTGCCTGGGCCAAAAAACCAGACCATCTATACTGACATAGCAGTATTATTACATACTACAGCCAGCTGTGCTGGTATAACTCCTGTGTAGACACTATGAGCATTTATACACACATGTTTGTCTGCTCTGACATGCTGGAAAACCCCTGGGTTGGAACAAACTTGATTAATCAAGTCTGCTCTACACACAAGCTGATGTGCCTGGCGCTGCATTGCATGCATTTGTATAAATAGCAAAATGCATGTCAGCACTGAGAAAATGGCGGTGGTGCACTTTTGAGTGAAAACACCTTTGATGTGTTTTAGTTCAAAAGTATACCGCTGTCATTTTCTCAGCATTGATGCATGTTTTGCCATTTATATAAATGCATGTGCTGCAGTGCAAGCATGTATACAAATGCCTTATATTCTAAAATAAACATGATTTTATTCTTGTAGAATAAGACTACTCTGTAATTCTACTGGTCTGTGGAGACAAGCTCTAAGGCTGTGTTCAGACGAGTATGGCCGTGCGGTATGCACCGCTGCAGACATGACTGTGGCGCCACAAACCATATGTTCAGTTGTTCTCTACACTGCAAGGGAGCAGCGTAGTGGGGGAGTCGATCCCTGGATATCCAGGGGTCAAAAAAACCTGTGCAGAAAAAAAGCAGAGTGGTGCATGCAGGAGCAGCGCATGCCACTCAAAACCAGAACCTGGCTGGCCAGAGCTATGCTCCAGCTGCTGGCCAGGCTCTGAGCAGCAGGATTGCTGCTGGTGCAGCTCCAGGAGGCTCCCAAGACCCAGGTAAGGCTTCTGAAGCCAGCCCAGTGCTGGCCCCAGCCTCCCCTACCCCACCCAGGGCAACCAGAGGACACCTGGCACAGGTGTTCCCCCAGGACAACTAGCGGCAGCACAAGGTGTCCCACTGCTAGTTGTCCTCAGGGTAATAAATTTCCATGCTCATATGGACGCAGCCTAAGAGGGTGCCTACTCTATGGCATGATTTCCACTGAAAGTGAGATCCTGTAATTTGTGGGACAATTTCACCATAGCAATTCAGACCAATATGCACAACACAGCAAAATGTACTTGCAATGACGAGTAGTGCAGTCATAGACTATACTTACAGGTTTCAAAGGGAAAAATTTAATACAGGTTATGAAAGAGGCCTTTCAAACCTCAGTATGGTTAATCAGGAAGCAACATTTGTCTTGTATCTCTAGTCAAGGACCAGTAATGTCAGATCCATGCATGCTAAGAATAACAGCGTTGTTCTGAGATGTGGGTTTGGGTGGCCTTTTGCTTGCCGCTATTTTTGGCATTCACGTCACTTGAATCTGTATGCTTCTGGAGGCCAGGGCTAGCAAGCAGCTTCCTGGAGTCCAGATGCAACATAGAAAGAACAACTCAATTTTGTGTTGGGTGGCAAAAAGCTCAGAGACGTTTATTGCCTCTTTGCCAGTACACTAGCTGGCCTCTTTAGCAATCAGCCCAACTCAATAGAATTGCCAAGGACAATGATAGCAAGACCATGTGCAAATTACACTCCCCTAGCTCATTACAAAGAAACAATCCTAGCAACACCTATATTTATACCTGAAACACTCAAGTTTTTGTGCCAATGATTATCTTTTTGCCAAAATATCTGTTTTTACTTGTCCTTTTGCCAAGTGCATACCTGGCTCCCTTCATTTCCTCTCCTATCTTAACTCCTTTCTTTGTACCAGCTTCCCTGCTCATTAGTGTGTTCTTCCTTTTCTACTCCTTTTATCAGGGCATTCGCTGATCGGAGAGGCCTATTCTTCCTAAACTGTTTCTTAGAGCCTTAGCTATGTCTTAGCAAAACCAAAGTCCCACGAATAGCCATGGATTTTGCCATTTTTCTTCACATAAGGAAACAATCTCCATGAATCCTGGGGTACTAGTCATGAAGGTATTGCTCAGAAAGATCAAAGTAAGCAGGATCTGGCCATACAGATTTTAAACTAGTTTAGGTCATTAAATAATGCTTTTGGAGGGATTTTACTCTGTCATGTTTTACAAGGTGACTTCCTTATTTTGAAAGAACAAAGGCAAACACTATATAAGCCAACTGTAGGGTTCAAAGTTTAGTTCTTGTAGCAAGGAACAGATATCTCTTCCTGTCAATTAAACTGCTTTATGTGAGCAGTAAACATTTCCAAATGCAACAAGAATGAATCACAATCTATTCATGAAACAGTAAGGGGTGAGGGATTCGCTCTTTGTCCCATTTTTGTCCAGCAGGTGCTACAATCCTGTGTAAAGTCAATGCAGTTGGTGCAGTGCAGATTCAACAGTTCTATTGTCACGGCCACTGGCAATAACAATTGGAAAGAGAAGACGTAAGATCCCAGAGTTTAATCTTGAAATAATCCTACTAAAGTCAATAGGATTAATTAAGAAGCACAGTTTATGCATGGTGCCCAGGTCTCTGTATCTCATAGGTCTGAATCAGATTTTGTTATACTTCATATTAATTGCCAATGCAAATCCGGAGCCTAACTGTCCAACTTTTATAAATATCACCAATTACTTTGACTTGACTGGTCTCTTCCAAAAGGAAAGACTATTCATATAAGCAAAAGTTATCAATTTATGCCATAGATACTTCACTGCAAATTGAATTTCATGGGAAACTGAAGGTAAGTAATATGCATGATTTAAACTACATAGCAAGGGGTGTTACAGAGCAAATAACAGCGTAGCAGGAATGTAAATTATAACACAGTAACCAGCACCAGGACACTATAAAACGTCTTCAGTGTTTGATGATTTAGTGGCTGTTTTTTAAATCTTTAATAATGCAAGTTTCAGCTATAAAAAGCAACTTAATCGCGCTATTATCAGATTCAGTTATTACAGAGAAAAATAAGGCTTTTCCCCCACACTTGTTTCAAGTTGTTCACAAAACGCTTCTTTCTGAGTGACTGATATTAATTTTAAACTTTTGAATAAAAACATAAATGTCCAGGACTTATGTCATAGTTAGTAGCATAAACACTCTATATGGAAGATGCTGCCAATTCACATGCCATTTCTGAATTACAATTTTTTCTGAATTACAGATTAAGGGCATGGATATGGCTATCGAGATTTGTTGGGGTGTTTATCAAGGAAAGGAAAACTCATGACTTACCAAATGAAATACAAGGAGGTAGAATATGTGAAGTCCATGCAGTATAAACATCTTGGTGATTTCTTGCATTTTGGCTCCTGTAAATGAATACATCTTAGTTCTAATATCTTTAGGTTATTTTACTCTTAAAATTGTTAGTTTATAATCATGAATAAAAACTAAAACTAAACTCTGGGTGATAACGGTAAAGCTCCTTAGTCCATATATAAGCAGCCATAAAATATCCTGAATTCCAAAAGAGCCAAGCACCAATGATGGCCATGGCCCTTTGGGTCCTTTGGGCTATGGACAGACATTCAAGAAGCTGGAGCTTGAACTGATTCAGCCTTTGCAAGTTAGTCTAACCTGGCTGGACTTAACCGGTTTGTAACCACACAGACATGTGGGCACATGCTTGCAGTTGCTCAGCCCAGAAGCCCGGGGGCACTAAAGCGTGCCCTCAGCTGCAGGAAAGGTGTGCTGGGGGGTGTGACCAGTCTGGGCTGAATGGGCCAGAGGAAACTTTAATTCCCCACTCCCTGTCCTACTGGCAGGGACCTGAGCTGGGTCTGCTGAGCACCCTGCTTCTGCTCATTGCTGAAGCCATGACCAGCATGGGCCCTCAGCCATCGAGGGTGTGGGGGGTGTTATTCTTCCCTCTACCACCACTGCCCCTGGGGGGCTGCAGCGCCACTGGAGGCTGAAGCAGCTTCCTTCAGCCTGGCAGTTTCAACCTGTGCTGGTCTAAAGCTGCTGGACTGAAGGGAGCTCCCCCAGCCCTAAGCAGCGCTGCACGGTGCAGCAGGTGCTGCAGCCAGAGGCGAGGGGAGAGAGTCCTGCCAGGTCAAGCCAACTTCCTCTCAACTGCTGCAGTGACTCCCCCTCCCCTTCAGCCCTGCGTCTTATGCCCCGTGCGTGGAGCTGTGGCGGCAGCCCCCAGACTGAAGCCTTCCACCCAGGTGCCTTCACCTTTCACGGCATCTGGGAGCTGGAGTCAGAGCTTCACGCGCTCCCCCACCCCAGCAGTGCGGCGTGGCACAGTGGTGGCAGCAGCAGCCTGCAGCTGCTTGTTAGCTTGAAGCCCTGGGTGCTGCACAGGGCAGGGGGCACAGCAGTGGTGGCTGGGCAGCTCAGGACCTGCCACCACCTCTGAGCTGGCCCAGGAAGCCCGCTCCCCAGCCAGCCCCCAGCTGGCGGGGCCAGATGCCCACTGGCAGGGCCCCGGGGTGTCGGGGGGGAGGTCAGGGACTGGGGTTATTCCCCCTCCCTCTAGCATCTGGTGGAGGAAACAAGGAGGGAGCTTATTCTGCCGCTCAGTGGTGGTCAGGGCTGGCAGATCTGGCTGCAGTCCCCCAGAGGCAGTGGGAGCAGAGGGGAGAATAACCCTGCTCCTTGCCCCCTCTGGCTCAGGGGTCATGCTGGCCCTTGGCTGCAGCAGCAAGGGGGAGTGCTTAGCAGACCCCACTCAGGTCCCTGCCGGTGGGACAGGAAGGGGGGAATGAAACCCCTCTCTGTCCAGACCCTGCCCCTGCCCCTGCCTGCCCCAGCTCTGGCTGGGGAGCAGAGGGGCAGGGGCAGGGCCAGCCCTGCTGGGCTGCAGCACAGAGCCCAGCCCAGACAGCATGCCGGGATGCTGGGGGACTCTGGTTTAAGTTAAACCAGGAAGGGGTCTGGGACAGATACTGCATAAACCAGCTTGAACCAAATCAGTTAAGTCTGATACTACATTCAACCAGGTTTATCTCAAACCAGTTTTGTTCATTTTGAAACTGGTGTATGTGCTTTGAACTTATGTTCTGTTACAGGTTTAAACCAGTTCCTGATCACTAGTTTATGTGTAATGTCTGTCCCTAGCCTTGAAGTGAAGGGCACTATGTAGGAACCCAAAGTTTCAAAAATCACATGTATGAAATTCTCTTCCCCTGCTATTTATATTAAAGGACAAGAACAGTTCTGTAAAAGCAGGACCACTGCAGAGTGGAAATCAGTATTGCACCAAGCAGTGTTAACCTCTTTGTCAATAATCTATGTTGCTTGGAGAATAGTGGCTTTGCCCTGAATATGTAAGTATCTATCAGTATCCAAGTCTCCTGGGAGGCTCCGAGGGGGTGAAGAATATAGTATAGGATCACAGCCCTCCACTTGTCCACAGTTTAAGGCATTTCCATCCCATTTATTTCTTTTTGTCCTTTCTTCCTTGCCCTACATGTAGGAACAATATTGCCCAATACTGTCACCAGCTTTGGCATACAAAGGTTAGACAGCATGTAGTGACACTACCCAAGACAAGGCAGATTTTACAACCCACTTACTCTTGTCAGTAGTCATTACTGATGAAAGTAGCTCCACTGACCTCACTACGGTGACTTGCATAAACAAAGACAAATTGCATATACAGAGGAAGGGAGCAAGAGTATCTCAACCTGTTTAAAATGCAGCAAACAATTTAAGTCAACATGAAAACAGCAATTTTCAGAAAACTAGAGTTTACATCAAAACTTTGTTGTCAAGTGTTGATTTTTCTTTGAAAAGCTTAAATGAAGCCTTCCTTTGAAAGGCTATTTATCCTTTCTGGCGTCAAGAAATCTAAGATATGGGCTTGGCAGTACTGAGAGGAAAAAATTTAGAAGCAGCCAAGCTCATGGAGAAGGTGTAAACTGATCTTGACTTTATCTTATTATGAGTGGGAGGTTTTTTCTCTTTTCATAAGGCAATCCTGAAAAGGGGATTGAATTTCAAATTCATGTACCATTTAGACTATGTAAAAGCACTTATGTACATGGCATAAATCCACGCAAATCTGACTAAGAAATACAGCAATATGAGTTACATTGGTTTCCTAAACCACTGTCTGGGTGTCTTATTTCTTATTACTTTCTTCTCTAAATATAATAAAAACTGTACATGTTGACAAAACTCAGGACTGAGATTTGATCAATGCTTATTTCTTCATCGTAGCCTTTTCTACCACAAGGCAGGAACAGTATGGTTACTGTATGGCTTTCCAGATTTTATGTATCGTGGCATTCTTGTGGGTCGGATCACTCTGAAACGCATTATTCCTCTGTCCATCCCCAGAAAAACCAAAACTTGTGAGATCTGAAGACAGAAAATTGCCCACTAAAGAAAGCAAAGCCTGCTTTGAATTAAATATATATATTTTAATACACACTAGGTCAGTTGGAGTTAAGAAAAGGGAGGAATACCTACCTAAACTTTTTTGTAACTAAAAAAAAAAAAAAAAGAATTTGCATCTGACTCCTGAGATCATGGTTTCACAGTTATAGATCAATAGGTATGCTCCACACTTTCTCTAAAGATATCCATAATGATTTTCTTATAGAGCCTCTGGCTAAAATAACTAAAAATTTAGCATAGCAAATATGAAAATATCTCAGCAACTTTTGTTAATAAATATTCTGTGACTGTAGACATTAATCACCTATGAAAAAACAAACTAAAAAATATCTGGTTCCACAAACATTTGTTTTAAGATTAATTTCAAAACCCATTTTAAATTTTTGTTTTAGATGGTCACATTTTCAAGTTTAAAACACTTTGCTTTGGAAAAGAGACACTAACCTGCATTAGGACAAACCACTCCCAACACAAAACCTGACATTCTTCATTTTCCAAGAAAAGAGCAAGAACAATCCATCAAGTTGCTAACATCACCCAAAAATAATCCAATCCCTTACTTCCATTTGTAAAATATCTTTCAAAGGGAGGTGGATTAGATAATACCATACCTCAAGGATGAAAATCTTGTTTCTTCATAAAATACGTATTCCCTCTTTTAGCCCTTACACTCACCTGTTGAGGTTAGTAGTGCCAAGCCTGTGCTTCTCTGCACAGTTTATGGTTTCTCAGACTCACCCAAGAGCTTGGCTCAAATATTAACTACATGGATCTGTAAATGACTAGGTGTGGCATGCCACGGAGGGAAGCAGTTTAGCTAAGTAATAATTAATTGCTCTTTCAGTATTTTCATTTCTGTATGGATAGTCTAACTGAGCTCAACTTCTCAGTGATGGTTCCAGGAGTTAAAGGCAACCAATATGTGGCTGGAAGTTGAGAAGAGAAATTTTTCTTTCTGTGAGAGAAAAAGCAGAAGTGAAACATCCTCTGGAGATAATCTGTTTCTCACTGCTAGTAATGGATCGAGCTCAAAGGACAAGAATTTGGACCTGAGAATGACCTGTCTTTGAAGCAGTTGATCAATGCATACGGAAAACACAACCCATTTACTGAGAATATTGTAGTACTAGGCTGGGACTCAGGACATTTGAAGAGCAAATGAAGTTTGGGGACATTAGAGAGAGGTTAAATCACATTAAAAATGGCCACCCAAGCTAACTTAGTTGCCCAGGTGTGGATAGTTAAATCAATCTAAGTGCAAACTGTTCAGAAGTTCAGGACAATTAGATTGGTCTAAAACTGGCTGACCTAATCTAAGTTAAGTGTACCTCACAGGTAGGGTTAACTTAGATGAGATTAGGTATTTTTAGACTGATCTAACTGTCCTGAACTTCTGTACAATTCCCAGCACAGCCTTTGAACTTCTGTACAAAGCCCAGCCGCTGCCCCCTGCCCCTGCCCTAGCCCTCCTTTCCCTACCCCCTCTCTGGCATTGGGCTATTTTTAGACCCCCCCCCCCAGCTGCTTCCCCCAGGCCCAGGTCAGTCAACTCATCCCACCCATGGACCAGCAGCCACTGCCCGGAGCCTAACCCTTCCCCCCCATTCACAAGCCGTTCCCTGTGCCATTTTTACCAGCATTTGCCAGTGCTGGGAACTGAGCAAATAAGACAGGGTAAGGGAAGGGGCAGGGGGAATGTGGGGGCTTAGTTCACCTGGGGAAGGTGTTTGTTTGAGGGTCAAGGGGCTAAAAATATCCCCTGGTTGCAGGGAGTGGAGGAGAGAGCCCCCCCATGGACCCTGCAAGCCTCCCAGATCCCACGAATCCCCCCAGTAGATCCTGCCTGTCCCCCCCAGCTCCGGCACTGCAATGACCTCTTCTTCCCCCCAAACCCTGCAATTCCCACACAGACCCCACCTGCCCCCCTGATCTCCCCCCCAGCCCCTGCCTGTCCCCCT